TTGAACCAGTGACCCTTTACTTCACAGGCCCGTGCTCAATCCACTGAGCTACACCAGCCAGGGCTCGACTCTAAAATAGTATTATGTAAGCCTACAACTGAGAACATTTTCTTGCAAAATTCTTCCACAAATGAAAATTATAAAAATATCCCTGGTCTATATTCTATAGCTATCTTCTGACTTCTTAAGAGGTTAGCAATTTAGAAACAATGTAGAAAAAACTGGCTGATATAAATCAAAGAGTTTCTCCAGAATATTTCATTAAACTGACCTTCTAAAAGAATACACATAATTTCTATTGCAATCAAACCCCCAAAGGCCTACATTTAAGATATAAGAGCAAACACTGGCTGTATGACAAAGTTTTGCTAAATTTCAAGTTTGTTTGTCTTTTTAAATAATGGGTAGCCAAAGAAAAGTCATTAATATTAACAGACAATGACAGAAAACTACAGGAACTCCAAATACAGAAAGGCTGTTCATATATCCTAACAGCATAACCATTATGGCTGAAAAAACCACACAATATTCTTTCTCACATATTTTGTTAATGAGCCAAGAATGAGGGTCTATTAAGTATCCTAGATAATTGAAATAGAAGTAGGAATCTCTAGTGAAGGCTGCTCATCCAACAAAACTGAGAGTAAAGAAGTTTGGAAAGCACACTGTTCTTAAATATCTTTTTAGTTTTATCTGCATGAAGAGAGAACTGTTATTTGACTTTTTTCCTCCTTATCCATTAAAAACAACAACAATAACAAACATGAGTTGTTTAAGATCCTAGTTTTAGGTATTAGAAGAAAATATTTTCTAAGATTAACAAAATACTTAATTCATCTTTCATGTAGACCCTCAAGTAGTTTAAGACGGGAAACCAACGTGAAAAAAGATGGCTGTGATATAAAGCAACAAAGTATTCAAGTAGACTGTAACAGCTTATGACAATTTGGCAAGAATTCTACTCTGAGCTAGGGTTTTCCCATGTACAACAGAGAATTCTTGCAGGAAATGTCCTCTTCACAGGGCCCTAGACTGAATACTATCAGGCCACGCTTACAGAATCAAATGCGTGCAATGTTCTCAATGGAAAAAAGAAATATAAATTTATTCTAAAATACCAACTTATTACATAAAATTTTCCAGAAGAGGAAAGGGAAGTAGTATCTAGAAATAATTTCATTCATTCTACCATTTTACTAAATTTCTATAATTTAAAAAATTAATAGTTATTAGTTTGGAATTTGGCTTAAAAATTTATTAGAGTAGTTATACTGGGGAAGTGAATCACGAGTCCTTATGTTAAATGAATTATATTTGAGGGTTACATGTATGTTCTTTTTTCCTGTAAAGTCTTCATTTAGAATAAAAAAGTTATTGCAGAATTCTCTCCTTTTTAGTTTCCCCCCATGGTGTTCTATCACTGTCAGAAAACCCTAAAGAAAAAACAAAACCCAAAATCAAAATAATCTACATTTTTATATGTCCACTGCCAATTATGAACAGCAAATATTAGGGAAAAGGTTTTTTCTTTCATATTTTTATTTATTTATTTATTTTTAGAGAGAGGGGAAAGGAAGGAGAAAGAGAGGAAGAGAAACATCAGTGTGTGAGAGAAGCACGTGCCCCAACCAGGGACCAGCCCAACAGTAACCATCTGCTTTGCAGCGGCCAGTGAGTCACACCAGTCAGGTGGGAAAAGTTTTAATAGCCACTTCAGAGCAGCACAAGCTAAAATTTAAGTGACAACCAAGTACAAAAAAAAGGGAATCTTTTCCATGTTCAAAATTCATGCCCTTACAGAGCAGTATTTTGACACTTTTTTCCAAGACAAAAATCCACAAGTGAGAAAATTTATATAAAATTTATATAACAAAAGAAACATTTCCCAAAGTGATTAAAGATTTAAATACTCAACTGAGAACCTAATGGCATCTTATTTTTTAGTATTTTGAACCCATTTTTATCAACTTCATCCAAATCTAGCTTTCATACACAAAGTTTTTATCCCTTTTGAATTTGTTCTCAAATGATTTTCTCCGTTTTCATTACTCAAGAATGCAGAGCCCTAAAACAACTATTTAAAGATGAATTTGAAAGTAAAACTAAGAGCCCTGGCCAGTGTGGCTTGGCTTTGGAGCCTTGTCCTGTGCAATGAAAGGTCCTGAGATCTCCTGGGTTTGATTCCTGGTCAGGGCACATACCTGGGTTGACGGTTCAGTCCCCAATTGGGGCCCCCACAGGAGGTACTCTATGTTTCTAATCTGCACACCCTTTCCCCCTCCACAACTACCAAACCTGTCAAATCAATTTGTGTATCAATAAATTAAGATAAAAGTAAATGTTTTTCTTTCATTGGTAGGTAAGTGCAATTCCATTGGCCCTAAACAGTTTTCTGACTTTACTTAAAAATAAAGTAAAGACCTGGCTGGTGTGGCTCAGGGGATTCAGTGCCAGCCTGTGAACCAAAAGGTCGCCAATTTGATTCCCAGTCAGGGCACATGCCTGGGTCCTGATCTGGGCCTTTGAAAGAGGCAACCAATCAATGTTTCTCTTCCTCTCTTTCTCCCTCCTTTCCCTTCTCTCTAAAAATAAACAAAATCTTAAGAAAAAAGAATTGTGCCAGTTTTGGTTAAATCAAAGTTCACATAGTACTAAGTCAGTAGTTTGTATAGGCCACCCTTAAAAATCACTTAAGTGGTTTCATGCAAAAGGGAAGAATAGACAAAACTTTTAGTGAGGAATGATTTATCAAGAAACAATTATATAGTATTTGTATGCAAAGTCTCTAATGTAAATAAGAGGATTCCTGAGAAATCTCCATACATAACATTTACGTCTAAAATATTTTAAGCCACCCTGGTTGGTATAGCTCAGTGGATTGATTGAGCATGGGCCTGCGAACCAAAAGATCGCGGTTTGATTCCCAGTCAGGGCACATGGCTGGGTAACAGGCCAGTTCCCAGCAGTGGCCAGTTCCCAGCAAGGGATGCACGAGAAGCAACCATACATCGATGTTTCTCTCCCTCTCTCCTTCCCTTCCCTTCTAAAGATAAATAAGTAAAATTTTAAAATATTTTAAGCCAAAAAATGTATCTGGCAAAACTTGACTTAAAACTTACTTGTACATTTCCCCCAATGCATCATTTCAATTTCATATGCAGCATAACAAAGGCATATGTTTCGGGAAGAATGAAAATTTTGTTTTTGAAGATAACAACCTTAAAACAAATTAATTAACCTTAAAACAAAATCTCTATCTTCACTAGAGATTACAGTCAATCATGCATAAACTTTTGCATTTCAAGATGTCCAATTCTTAGTTCAAAAATTCACAGCATTTACTGAATTATACCAGTTGGACCAGTTAGTTGACTAGGTGGTTTGATTTCAGAAAAATTTCTCAGCTGTCCATATATTGGGTATAATTTCATATTTTAAGAAACCAGACTAGAGAGACAGTATAGAGAAAAAATGTCTGAAAAAAACTGAAATATCTTTCATAGTTTCAGAATGATCAACAAAGTTTAACTTTCATATTTTGTTTTCCAGGCTTAACAACAGGATAGTTATATAAAAATCACAGACAGCCACAAATGATCATATTCCCTTAAAAGTATAATAGAAAGTTAAAAAAAAAAACAAAGGACACAGTTTTGGAAAAACACAAATCAATGACAAATGACAGTCTAAAACTTTTCACAATCTAGATAAACTTTCCCTTTTAAAGAAGATATTAAGGAAAAAATGGAGCATGCAAAAGAGAAATGGTACAAATCAATTAGAGAAAATTCCATACATTAAGACAATAAAACCCCCTATCCCACCTCTACCAATGGATTGCTTTTGCGTGTACTTGACAATTATACTCCTTAACATAATCGACAAATTCTTTATTATCACTGTGTTACTGGTTTCTTTTATGTAAGTTCTTACCTCATATTCAGGTGCCTCCCAAATTGTCAAAATGAGATGTGAACTTCAGGGCTTATTATACCATTAGTAACAAGGATGCCCCCCCCCCCATATTTTGAAAATTTACTTATATGTTTGTGAGAGTCTGGATGGAAAGAACTTTCAAATTTAACATAACAAGCATGAGTGACCCTTTGGAAAGCAAACCATTATGTAACACCTACTTTACGTTCCTGGATTAATTATTTTAGAACCATAAAGAGTACTTTTTTATTTTAAGATTAAGTACTGCCCAAGTTGCAATTTTTTCTGAAGACTCCCGTTTTTCTTAAGATTACCGTTCTGCCCAGGGAAAGTGGTTTTCTTAAATTCCAAATTTCCAGGAATATGACAACGCTTCTCTAGGGACCAGAGAATGAAAAGTAAAGTACTGTCAGCAATTTTAGGGTCCACCTCACATAAGCAGTGATCCAGCCTGATAGGAAGGACATTTCCAAGAGCCCCAGGAACTACACACTGGAGCAAAAGTAGGTTTATAGTAGTGAGTAGGCGAAATATAGTTTATCCTTGTATTATTTAGTAATCACTGTACTATCTTCCATACCAACTGTAAACCTATTTTTGCCACACCCTGTATATCCTACGCTGCCACAAACATCAGAAGAGAACTTGGAGATGACGTAGCACTAAAACCAAGCTTAATTCTCGTCTGTTATCTCAATCTCCCTAACTACCTTAAGAGGTAAGGAATGGAGAGGGCTGGCCGCCCCAGCGCCTCTACGGGACACGCAACCCGGTGAAAGATACGCACACCGTTACATCTCCAACAGGAGTAACAAAAGCGATGGCTCCAGCAAGAATAATATCGCCTAGAGAGCCCTAAACTTCAATCCTTTAAGCAGCGTCCCCTCTCGCAGTTTCGCCTACTCAGTGGCTCCGGGGAACTGTGCCGGGGCTGCGCGGAGGAGGGGTGGGCACAGAGGACAGCCTCCCGGACCGCGCTCACCTCGCACACCGGCGCCGGGGCTGCAGAGCGACGATGCTCTGCGGACAGCCCCACTGAGCAGGCCAACAGCTCTGACTCTCACCTGCGGAGCCGATTTCCATTCATGGAGCTGGGGGGTGTGCTTCGAGCGAGAAGGGCGCCCGCGATTGGGGGCAAGAAGGCGGCGCAGGTGGGCGACACGGTGCGACAGGCACTCTCACTTGGCCGCGAGGCGAGGAGGCGACAGCTTCTCAGCGCCCGCACTCCGAAAGCTTGCGTCAGAAGGAGCCGCGGGCAGCACACAGCTAGGCGAGAAGAGGAAGCGTGAGGGGAAAGGTGAGCTCGGCGAGGAAATTGCGTCGCCCGCGGGCGCTTACGCTACCACTGCCCCTCCAGGACTGCGGCTCCGCCGCCGACCTCCCCCGGAAGCACGCTGGCGTCAGTTCCGCTGCCCCCGATTGCCCGACGTCCGTGCAGACCACGCAGGAGCGTCGGGAGGCGGGCGCCGGGCCTGGGCGGAGCCTGCGGCTCAGGGACCGGGTGCGGGCGGTGCCGGCCCAAGACGACCCAGTGGGGCTACAGCCCTCGCACTGCCCAGGTGACGTCGCGGAGGGTGCTGTGGCTTCTCCGGGGAAGAGCCTACCTTGAGCAGGGCGGGTGGTGGGGCAGGGCCCAAGACCTCTAGCGGAGAGGGCCGCCCTCATTCCCGAGCCCTTCCCTCCACGCCCAGTTTGGGCGGCCCCAACGCGCTTCTTCCTCAACAGGAGAGAGAGTAGTCGCTGCAGCTGATAAACTCAATAAGGTTGCTTTGACGACCATTTTGGGCGGGGGGGGGGGGGGATGTACAATTTAACTTGGGAAAAGATAATTAAGAAACAGGCAAAGATCAAATCGAGTAATTTTCAAGTTTAAAGTTCTTTAATAGCGCTGCGTCCCACTGAGAAGACCCGAACTCCTTTCCAGGGCCAAGACGCTTGGCGTAACGGGGACCCTGTCTTTGGTGCTATTCATCACCGCTGCACCCGTAGCGCTCTGCTTCAGTCCCCCAAACGGCAAGGCACGTCCTTCCGTTTTTCGGGCCTCTGCTTTTCGTTCCCTTGGCCGGGAATCCTGTCTCACCTCTTGCTTTTTTATGCCTCAACTTACTTCAGAGTGATTTTCCGATATGGTGGGCACCCGTTTTTCTATTACAGTGTTTTTCCTTAATAATCCTGTCTCAATCTGTAACTTGTTCTTACTAGTTAACCCTCTCACTAGAATGTAAACTCTGTAAGATTATACCAGGTCCAGCACCTTAAACTGGCAAGTAGCAGGCCCGTATTTGCTGACTTCACTGGTGATACTATTTTATTCAGGCTTAGGAATGGTTCAGGCCTTTTCCCTGTCCCTACGCATCAGTAATGGTTAGACTTTTAAAAAATCAAGTATGTTTATTTTTTTTTTGTAAAGCTTGGGACAAAGAAGAAAAAGTATCCTAAGTATGCCCCCCATCCATTTCCCCAGTCACTGTGGGGCTTTGGTCACCTGAGCCTCACCCTTCCTTCTCCTCATCTAAAAAATGTAAAGAAAAATATGTACCTTAGAGTTGTGAAGGAATGTACACAAAGCACAAAGAAAACCCTCCCTAAATGTTAGTACTGAATTTAAAAAGTAGTTATTTGGTTACTATTTACCATTTACTAGGATGGTTACTATTGTAAGTTACCATTTTAAAGCACTTAATAGATGCACCTGCCTGTAAACACTTCATAAACTGTATTCAAACCCATATCTGATTCCAATTTTCTCATTTCTTCCTTCCCATCTTTACACCTTTAAGTGAAAATGCCCTCTCCAATTTAAAAATGTCAAATTGTCATCAGATAAAATATGGTATCTTCAAAACTATGTTCAATACCTGTCTACAGGAGCACCAAACAAGGCACATACCAACTTTTGTGCAAGGGTCTATCACACTTTCAACCCCTAAGCCTGAAAATGCCCCCTAAATGACTGCAGGCTGCTTCTGCGTCTCCGGGAGTAGACATGGCGATTGTGATGAATCCTGGAAGTGGGCCACTGTCTTCTTTTTGACACTGATGAAGCAGAATTTGGACCTTCTAATTAGATCCAGATTAACAAATGTCAATATCTTCCCATCTACTTCTGCTATGACTTCCACCTTGTTAGAGTGTGCCCATATTAAATATCATGAACATATAATATCATGAAGAGGGAAAGCAAAAAAATTCGAATGATTCTGCCAGAAACAAAGTTGTATGAGGCTCGCTCCTGACCAAATGCACATCCTAGTTTTGGATAGCCTTATTCCCAAATGAGTCTGCTCTTAAGAGCAAACAGGAGGTTCTTTGTGCATCTCGTTAATGGTCACAGCCCCAGCGCCTAGAACAGTGCCAGTGCCAGGCACACGGCAGCATTCCATAAATAGTTGTGGGATAGGTGGATGAGTGGGCTCCAAGAATGGGGCTCAGGAAATAAGCTAAACCTCTGCCCTTATCCCTTGTGGCACCAGTTGCTCTCTGAAGGCAGAATAGAACAGTACAGAAATCTCTGGAGCAAGGAAATCAAGGCACACTGAATGTTGTATTCCTAGGCTTCCTGTGCTAGATAAACACCACTGGATGAGGGCAACTGGATTGAATTCTCTCCTCTCATAGGGTGAAGTTAGTTGCAATGAGTTCAAATCTCTCAGGCCTTAAGTTTTTAGATAGCAGAAATCCAGCTACAGTTGACCCTTTAATAACACTGGGGTTACAGATGCCGAACCCCAGGTAGTTAAATACCTGGGTATTAACTTTTGACTTCCTCAAATTTAACCATGGTCGTCCTTGAAGGGCTGCTTTCAGGAGTCCCTGTGGATGCCAAAATCCAAGGATGCTCCGGTCCCTCATATGAAATGGTGTAGAACAATGTGTGCAGTTGGCCCTCCACATTTACAGAATTCCAATTGGGGATTGACAATACAGTACTGTTTTCGATCTGCACTTGGTTGAATCTGCAGATGCAAAACTTGGGACTACAAAGGGCTAACTATTTATTGAAAAAAATCCATATATAAGGGAACCTGTGCAGTGTAAGCCTATGTTGTTCAAGGGTCAGCTGTACTGTGTACTGCAGCAGTGCACAATATAAAACATCCTGGCTTTAGGGACAGTCAGAGCCGAGACCCAAGACCCTTGGCTACTATCTCTGATCCTAGAAAAGTCATTCTCTCTTAGCCTCATGTTCCTCATCTGTAAACACCAAAGGACCTACATAGAGCAGACACTGCTGGGTACCTATCCAAGCCCTTACCTCCTTCTTTCTTGCCTAATAGACATGATTTGTTTTTCTAATCCACTGATTTAGAGGGTAACTCTGAATTAATCTCAGCCAGGGAGGATGGATCATCTCATTAGCTTTGTCAATGACAGGAGTGGGAAGATGACTCATTTCTAGCAAATGAGATGAGGCCAAATCTGCTGGGGTTTCCAGGGATGTTCTAACGTTAAATGAAACATTGGGGAAAAAATCAGTCCCTCTTCTGCAAGACATTGTTCTGTCAGCATTTCCTTCCTGGAATTACAATAGTCATCTTGGGACCCCCAGGTGAACCAGCACGAGCATAAACCAACACAGGACAGCAGAGCAAAAAGACTGCAAGCCCCTGGTTTGTTGGTATTATCATTAAGCCACCATATTAAATCAAGACTTCTTGTAATATAAAATTTCCCTTATTTAAGCCAACTTAATTGGAGTTTTGTTACAGTCAATCAAAGTTAACTGATAAACTACTTCACATGAATGCTGTGAAGATGCAGATAAGGTAAATAGACACTGTACAAAATGCCTCCTCAAGCACTTGCTACAAATATATGTTGCCAATTAACAGGGCAGAGGGGACACTGCTCAACTGATATTGAAAAGGGATGTGGGGGCTGCTAGAACAGGCCTCAACTAAAAATCCTGAGCTCCAGAACCAGACAAATCAGGCTTGGGCTCCCACCATATTTTTCTCTTTATTAGTGATCAACAGCAATTTAATTTAATCCTGAAACTTTTTTTTTTTGTAACATCAATGCTTTCTGAACACTGAAATTTATGGCAAAAAAACAAAGTGCCATAATTATCATCTTCCCACTTGCTCTGCTAAATACTTTACTTGTTTCATTAGGGGTCATACGTTTAAGCCTTATTTAGGAATAGGAATTGGGGAAAACAATCTCTCTGTTCCAATCTGCTCAGTTTAACCAACCTCACTAAACTGTGCTACTGAAAGGACATGGGTCTGGCTGATTTGCTCCCAAGGGAATCTGGCAGGTGGTGTCCACAGGTTCCCTCTGCAATTTGACAAGTCACATGTGGCCTCCAGAGGAATGCTAGGCCCACTTATGCACACACTAGCTGCCACTGAAAATTCCTCACTGGGCTCTGTGCCAGAACGCTCTGAGCAATCTCCCCACAGAGTAACAATGCTCTAACAGTACCAGGGAGAAACGCCAGAGCTTACATGCTTGACATTTGTGCCATCAGCTGAAAGCACAAGACAAGACCATGGAACTTCCCAGGTGGGATGAGAGTGAGAAAAAACGATGACAATCTGGTTAAGTTTCTGCTTTACCTGAAGATTTAGAAATGCTAAGTCCACCTTGTACACTCAGTATCACCTTGATTCCCCACCACCACACTCTGTGTTCATAAAACACATATTTCTAGCTCATTTCAATTCTCTTCACAAATATTAACCCCTTAATATATGCTATGGCCTTAAGATGACAAAAGTGAATAGAATGTAGTTTCTGCTCCTAGGAGTTTACAGGCTCCAAGGGAAACAAATCATGAAAATAAACAGAGCAAGCTGCTAAGTGCTATAGATATAGAAGGCACTGAACACCATCTATGACACTGGTTAGGAATGAAATTAGACTTGTTTATTTTATTCTTTTACAAGTATCTCCTGGAAACAGGAGGAAGCTGGAGGTGGTGGTGGCGGTTGTGGTGAACAGCTTGGAAGACCTAGTCTTAGCCTTATTTAAATTAGGTTTTTCCAATGCTCCTTTTCAAGAAATACTGGAGAATGACCATAAAGTTCTAAAATCCCAAAGATGGGGTGGAGGATAGTAAACTGAGTAGAAAAATATACCCCTTTCCCACTGTAGCAGTTCATGTTGTTAATCACACACTTCTTGGATTCTATTCCACTCTTTTGACTCGTCTCCCACCTCATTAAATCAAAAATATACAAAATATCTACTAGTGATTTGACAGTTATCTTAGGCTCTGCTTCCTCTCCGCATCCCTTAAATTGTGTTTCCTAGAGTTGTGTATGTCTCTCTCACTCTACTCTTTCTCTAAATCATTTTTTTTCCATTCCTATGGCTTTAACTATCATCTATAATCCCATATCTATAATTGCAGTTTTGTA